GCTCTGAGAACCACAAGCACAGAGGAGAATCATTGAGGCCTTTATTTATTCATTTTGTAAAAGATATTTATTTTATTTATTTGAAAAGCAGAGAGTTACACACACACACAGAGTTAGTGGCAGAGAAAGAGAGAGATCTTCATCCCCTGGTTCATTCCCCAAATGGTTGCAATGGCCAGGACTGGGCCAGGCCAAAGCCAGGGGCCTGGAGCTTCCTCCAGGTCTCCCCTGTGGTGCAGGGGCCCAAGGACCTGGGCCATCCTCTGCTGCCTTCCTGGGCACATTAGCAGGGAGCTGGGTTGGACGTGGAGCAGCCAGGACTTGATCCGGCACCCAAATGGGATGTCAGCGCTGCAGGCGATGGCTTTACCTGCTGTACCACAGCGCCGGCCCCAGTGAGGCCTTTGTTAAGGGGAGCCTGGTGGTGGGGGCACTCTGGCCCTTTCTGCATAGACTGTGCAGAGGAGAGAAACTGTCTCATCAGGAGTCCCAGGGCCGACTTTGGGGGATGCTTGAAGCGGCCAGGTTGTCTAACTCAGAAGATAGTGCAAAACCAAACGGCATGTTTTCAGTGGCTTCTCCTGAACCCTGGGCCCCCGCACTCCCTCTGTCTCTTGGGATCGGCCTGGCCAACAGCCCGTGGGCCGGCCGCAGCGGCAGACTTGCTGGACGGCGGGCCCAGAGGAAGCCGCAGTGTTCTGCAGACACGGGGCTGCAAGCCATTCTCTGCATGCCACCGCCGAGAGTCCCGCGCATGTGCACAAACCCTTCTTTACCTCTCGTCTCAGTTTCTGCTGCACAGCGTTTGGGCAGAATCTTCTCAGCTGACTGCAGATTTGGTCCGGAGGGTTTTATCAGGGTGGGGATCAGCTGTTGCTGTCAGAACCACTCTGTGCCTCGGGCGTGGACGGAGATAGTCCGGCTGGTCTCTTCGCTGCTTTCTTTCTGATAGGAATGTCTGCCCTGTGTCACGGGAGTGAAGCGCTCGGGTCCCTCCTCCCTGGACAGCCTGCAGTCTGTGTGTGTGAATTGGGAGCGGTGGCACCATCTGTGATTTCCAGTGTGTCAGTGCCAGGTCGGGGACAGGTAGACCAGCTGCCGGTTGTTTCTTGGCGGCGGTTCCCTTCCCTTTCGTGTGATGGGTTCTCCGCCTGGTTTGTTCTTTGTGATTTGAGTAGCGTGGGTTAATTCCAAGTGGCAGTCGTTCACTGCGGTGGGGCTGATTTGGAGTTGGCCCCGGGGTCTTCAGGCAGAGCAGGTGACTTCGGGGGCTACCCCCTCTTGGCGGTGACCCTCGGCAGGGCTGCGCATGCGTCAGCAGCGGAGGTGCACCTGACCTCTCGCTCTGCTGCTGCTACGGACAGCTGGCTCCGTGGACAGCAGCGCTGGGCTTGCCCGCCTGCCCTGAGGCTCAGCCCACAAGAGGGAAACGCGGGTGGCTCTCGCTCCTCCATTTGGGTTTTGTTTTGTGTGCCCTGGTGCGTCTGTGGCAGAGCAGCTGGGGGCCGCCGGGGTGGGAGGGTGGCTGGCGTGGTCCATTGGGAGGCTGCTTGGGGAGGGTGCCGAGGGGCTGTGGGTGCCAGTGCTGTCTCTGCTTGGTGGTCCTGCAGCCGCGAGGCGGAGGGTGTGAGCTGCCCTCGCTGTTGGGGGCCTGGCGCCTGTCACACCCCAGGAGAGTGTCCTCAAAGGCCCAGCACAGCCCGCGCCTGCGCGTCTCTGCAGGTGTAACTGGCTTCCACACAGCGCTGACGTGGCAAGCGCAGGGGTTTACTGAGTGTTCTAGAGGCGCTGGCCTCGGCTCCGGGTCTGGGAGGGCTTCCTCGCTGTGTCATGACCCGGCGAGGACTTCACGTGGGGGACAGAGCCAGCTGCTAGCTCGGGTCTCCCCTCCCCTTCTCAGAAAACCACTAATCCCAGCATGGGGGCTGAGGACCTCCCCCAGGCCGCGCCTCCAAATACGGTTAACGCAGGAGGTGGCAGGGTGCGTTTCCAACTGGCGAACTCTTGGGGGCACACACTCAGACCCAGCAGAGCCCCTGGAAGGCTGGCCTGGGAAGGGGCCCTCCTGGGGCTCAGTCTCCTGGGCCCTGCATGTCCTCGGACGGTTGAGGGGTTGAGCTTTTAAAATATTTGTTTATTTGAAAGTCACTTAGAAAGAGAGAGGATGAGATAGAGACAGAGAGGTCTTCCATCCACTGGTTCACTCCTCAGATGACCTCACAGGCCAGGACTGGGCCATACCGAAGCCAGGAGCCAGGAGATACATCTGGGTTTCCCACATGGGTGCAGGGGCCCGTCTTCCACTGCTTTTCCCAGGCCATTAGCAGGGAGCTGGACTAGAAGTGCAGCAGCCGGGACACAAACCAGTGGCTGTTTGATGTCCCAGGCAGCAGCTTTTCCTGCTGTGCCGTGATGCCGGCCCGACAGTGGGAATTCAGAAAGGACCAGAAAGGACCCAGAGGCCTGGCTGTGACCCCTGATACTGGGTCCCTGATCGCGGTTAGTGACGATGTCCCCTGTGCTCTGCCTTGCTGAGGTCCCGCTTGCAAGGCCCCAACCTCTGTGGTGTGATGTGGGGACCTTGTCTGTTCTCCCCGTGCCCAGCCGGTGTGTGTGTGGGGATGCAGTGACATTTAGAGACCCGGGGCGGGGGGACTGCACACACGATGAAGGTGGCGTGGCGGGCAGAGTGAGGGCACTGGGCCAAGCTTTCCACATGCCCAGAGGCCGTCGGGAAGACGCGCCCTATTCCAGTCTGCTTCGTGACGCGCCCGTTCCCTTATGGGGTGAGTGCCACCTCCTGTCCAGGCGGCTCAGGATGGGGACAGCCCATGTCCTCAGTGGACAGGGCTGCAGTTTCCTCTTTGAGCCTCTGTGTGGATTTTGTTTGAAGTCTCGTTGTACAAGACCTTTCCACTTGGCTCCTGGCTCAGCACAGACCCTGCCTGATGAGTGTTGTTTTGGGTTCTTTGCTGTAGATCTTCAGTTGACTACTTTCCGGAAACACTGTATAATGATGGAACTGTAGGGCCAGAGAGTTCTTGTAGCATCTGTAGGGGAGCCTGCTGCTGTTCCCCCGAGCTCTGCCCTCGCTTGGGCCCAAAGCCTTCTTGGCCTGTCTGGTTCTTCGCTCTGGCCAGGGCAGGCCCCTGCTGGGTGGGGCGGCCCACCCCAGGCAGCTTCCCTGCTCCAGGTGCGCTGTGCAGAGCTTCGTCCCTGCCGAGGTTTGTGTGTGAACTGGTCTGCCTGTTGTGCATTGGGGTAGATGTTGCAGTTTCAATACCAGGCTGTGCTGTGTAGTTCCTGCTCCCTCCTAAATGCACATGTTGTGTGAGTGCTTGGGTGGAGGGTGGTGGCGAGAAGGGAAGGGACAGGCAGAAGAGAAACAGGACCTCTACATTTCCTATTTAAAAAAAAAAAAGATTTATTTATTTGAGGCAGAGTGACAGAGAGAGAGAGAGAGAGCGAGCGAGCAGAGAGAAGGGCAGGGAGAGAGAGAGAGAGAGATTCCATCGGCTGGTTCACTTTGCGAATGATCACAGTGGCAGAGTCTGGGCTAGGTTGAGGCCAGGAGCCGGGAGCTCCATCAGGGTCTCCTGCATGTGTCACAGGGTCCCAAGTGCTTGGGCATCAGCTGCTGTCTTCCCCGGCGCATGAGCAGGAAGCCAGATGGGAAGTGGAGCAGCCGGGACGGGAGCTGGTGCTCTAATGTGGGATGCCAGCGTTGTCAGTGGCAGCTTCACCTGCTGCACCACAGCACCAGCTCCTGAATTTCTTACTTTTTTTTTAAAATTGAAATGGAGCACATATCCAGAAAAGAGCTCTTATCATTTCCAATTAGGTAGATGACCAGATTTTGGTAAACACCACTCAGGTTGACAAATAGAACATTCTCAGCACCTCTGAAGCCAGCTCTTCCTAATCACAACCCCTCTCCTCCCCAGAAGTAGTCATCACCCTGGCTTCTAACACCACAGCTGAATTCTGCCTGCTTTTGAACTTGAGGTGAATGGGCCTGTGAGTATGCTTTGTGTCTGGAGTATTAATATTCTCTTTGTGAGGCTCATCTGTGTGGGTGCAGGTAATGTTCACTGGCTATAATACTGAAGAGTTCTGATGTGTTACTGTAGAGTTCTATTGTGTTAGTATGGAGTTCTGTTGTGTTGCTATGGAGTTCTGTTGTATTAACATAGAGTTCTCCTGTGTTACTGTTGAGTTCTATTGTATTAATAGAGTTCTATTGTGTTCCTGTGGAGGTCTGTTGTGTTGCTATGTAGTTTCTATTGTGTTCCTATGGAGGTCTGTTGTGTTACTATGTAGTTTTATTGTGTTGCTATGGAGTTCTGTTGTGTTACTATGTAGTTCTATTGTGTTGCTATGGAGTTCTATTGTATTAACAGAGTCCTCTTGTGTTACTATTTTTTTTTTTATTTATTTGACAGGTAGAGTTATAGACAGTGAGAGAGA